AGAGAGCTGTGGAATTCCAGGTAGGGGGATGGACAGGACTTGGCAGGGTGGAGTAAGCCAGCTCTACTCACAGCTCAGCCTAGCCTGCTCTGGGGGCTTTGTGATGGGCCAGGCTGGGAGGTGGCCTGGGAGCTTTGATCTGCTGTCCCCTCCTGACTTGAGCGAGGGCCTAAAGCAGTTGTCTGCCTCCTTGTTCTTGTCAGTTGGTGACGTGTGTATGCATAAGGATCGCTGAAGCTGCTGCTTATTTTTTGTGTAAACTCACTTTTTAATGAAACATACTGAAAAAGAATCACTTTTTTCCACATAATATATGCACAAATAAAATTTACACAGTACAAGAAGGTGTATATAGAACGAAATGTAAATCCCTAACCCAGAAACTCGATCTCCCTTCCCCCAAATTCATCAGTTTATTTTTCTAGAAATGTGCACATATGTATGAATCCCCCCTCTTTTTTTTTTTAAGATTTTATTTATTTGTCTGAGATTGGGAGAGAGAGGGAGGTGGGGGGCGGGGGAGAGAGCTGGGTGGGGGAGGAACAGAGGCACGAGTACACTGCCCAGGGTTGGGCAGGGAGCCCAATGCTGGGCTCGATCCTAGGACCCTGGGATCATGACCTGAGCCGAAGGCAGACGCTTAACCAACTGAGCCACGCAGCTGCCCCTGAATCCCTTTCTTTACATAGGTCGGAGTGTGCTCTATATATTGTGCATTTTTTTTACCAAGCCCTAACCGATGGACTTCTAGGTTGGTTGTAACATCGAAAGACTAGAAAGAGCACTACAGTCAACATCCACATACTTTTGTGTTTTTTCTATATGTGTGAGTGCATTTGTAGGATAACTTTCTAGAAGTATTTCCTAGCTTAGTGATTTTGAAGAGCAAGAAGGCTAGGGACCTAGGGAAACCTGAGTGAAACATCTGCCAATGTTTGTGAGCTGAAAGGTGCTGTACATGAAGTGGGGGCCTTGGGGTTATGGTGCAGGTGTCTGCTGTGGGGGGCACCCAGGGCAGGAGAGCCCTCGGCCTGAAAACCCCTGCATTGTCTCTGTTGTGTATAAGGCAACTGTGATGAGGGGAGATTTTTATCCTGGGCCCTGGCCCCTGCCAACTGTCATCATTTCCCTCCTACTCACTTTCTCACCTCCATCCAAATCAGGAAGCACAAGCCTATGCAGACGACAACAGTTTGCTGTTCATGGAGACATCAGCAAAGACTGCAATGAACGTGAATGAAATTTTCATGGCAATAGGTGAGTTGCTCGCCTCCTCTCCCCTGACCTGGGTCCTGTCACTTGCCTGCTGTCTGTAGTACCTAGTAGGTCTCTAGGATCCCTTTATCTGATTCCCAGATGTAGATAGTTCACCCCAGAAGTTTCTAAAGCCTGGGGCCAAAGTCTCTACATTTTACTTTCTGACCCTTCAGCTTATCACCCACCTAAAACCCTACATGACCCTCCCCCTAACCTAATACTTAGGATTTTTAGGCCCATCTGACTCTGTAGTGAGTCATCCTGCCCAGATTCAAATCCTTGTTTTATTACTTAACTCTGTGGTTCTGGGCAGGTTATTTAACCTCTCTTTGCCTCAGTTTCCTGAATCACTCAGAATGCACGTGGCACATAGAAGCAGAGCCCTCAATGGGTTATCGCACATGGGGTGGTAAAAAGGCCAGCTTCCACTCAGGTGGACTTGGAAGAGCATTGGGGTACCCCCACAAACGCATTTTCCCCCTCCTCTTCCAAACAGCTAAGAAGCTTCCCAAGAATGAGCCCCAGAACGCAGCTGGTGCTCCGAGCCGGAACCGAGGCGTGGACCTCCAGGAGAACAACCCAGCCAGCCGGAGCCAGTGCTGCAGCAACTGAGCCCCCCTTGCCTGCCCACTGCCCCCACCTCCTCCGCCTGACCGACCCGACTGGAATCCACTCTAACCAATCGCACTTAACGACTCGGGCTACCACTGGGGGGGGTGGGGGCAGGGGGAGGGGTCCGCCATGATTTCTCCATAGAATTTTGATCATAGGCCGGAGTGAGTTATTCCACCTGCACCTTTCTGTACAAATACTAATTCAATTTTAAGTCTTAAGTCACTTTTTTAATATATATGATCTTCTGCTCTTCCCACTTCCAGCCCTTTCTACTGCTCTCCCACTCTTCCTTTGCTGGTAGTAGCCACGTGCCCCTGTTCCCCCCTACCCTTGTATGTGGGGAGGCAGGGGTTGGAGCAGTTACCCTTCTTTCCCTCTTGCTGATTAGCAGACTCAGCAAGAGCATCCGTATCCTTACCATGTTTGGAGTGGGCTTGGTTCTGGGTGGTGGGGCAGGCCCTAGGGGTGAGGGAAGGGAGAGAGAGCTCTTCCCTCAGCTGGCTGTCATCAGGCTGCAGCCCCCACTCACCCCCTGACTCACAGCTGGGAGAGAAACCACAGCATTACCACAGCATTATTGTGACAGCCACCAACCCATTGCCCACAACCTGCGCCCCCCCCCCCCCCGTCACCCTGACCTCTGGCTCTGAGCCCTGTTCTGACCAAATCACGATGATGAGTATTTGGGGATGGGTGGGTAAGCGGGGGGGGGGGACTGGGAGGGGATGGAACCAACTTTTTCTGTATTTTGTATTGTATGTTTTCTTCAACATGTAACCAATCAGTATCTTGTCAATATAGTCAGCCGATCGATCGACCTTCCGCTTGTCTTCCTTGTCTTTCTCTGGCAGAGTTTATCAGACCATATCCGCTCTAGCTTACTTGAAGTTAATTTAAAATGAACTACTGAATCTTACGGAACAAAGGCTCCCCCCCTCCAAAAGTGAGAGGATGCTGGTGGTCATGGTAACCAAGAGAAAGAGGCCCTTACTGGTACCAGCTTTAGGGGGTAGGGGTGGGGTGAGAGTGACCTGGGGCTGAACCTCACCAAGTTAGAAGTTGAGGGACCTGCATTTGCCTTTTCCCCGCCCCCCTCCAGATTATATTGGGGTGATGTGCAGTTTGTATTTGAAAATAGGCGCGTTCAGGGTGGGATGGCTGTAGACTGAAAATAGTTGGTCTCTGAAACACCAAAACAACCTCTTTGGGGTTTTTTTGGTTAGTCTGTACCTTGTGAAGGGCTGGGTCCTCTCACCCTTTCCCAGGTGACCTCTGGAACCTTGAGCTGGTCATGAGGCCAAGGCACCGCCCTACACCAGGTCCAAGCCGTCTGTCTGGTCCCTGGTCTATCCGGTGCTCTGCTGCTTGTGGAACCTGGTGCCCCTGCAGGCCTCCTTGGCCCTCTGCTGCTCCCTGCTGGAGCTCTTGCTGTCAGTTGCCAGGGGCTGGGCTGTTGGTCCGCTGAGCTCCCCCAGCTTCTCCCAGGGCCGCAGAGGCCTGATTCTTGGTGGACCACCACCTTAAAGTGCCTTTCCTGCCTCCTGGGACCCCCCACTGGCCCTCTCTGTATCTCGTTACGCCTCAACCTCTGACCCCAGCCCCAAGAAAAGACCACAACACCGAGGCTGCTGCTGCTCACTACAGTGGTGGTTTACTGGGTCAGCCTAGGTTGGCACTTAGAGCCACGGCCCCGGACTCTCGGGGATGGGCCTTTTTGGGCTTCAGGGGAAGACAGCGCCCGGCACGGGCCTCGGACGCACAGCTGGCCCAAGGGGGTCATGCTGCAGGTCATGGAGGCGGGATCCAGGTCCGGCGGTAGTTGCATCTGCCGCTGCACCCTCTGCGCCACGCGGTAGCCAGCCCCATCCGGGCTGCAGCCCTCCAGTTGTCGCTGGCCGGTCACCATCAGACATTGGCCGTCCACTTGCACCACCAGCTCCTCGGGGGTAAAGCCGTAGGCATCCACCTTCATCTGGAAGCCATCCTCTGCGTGGACGTTGTTCCGCACAGCCGCCGCATCGTCCCTGAGCAGCCGTACCGGCAGCGTGGCCACCTGGTTCTGTTCGGCGAGGGCCACGCTGGGACTGCGGCTCCCGCTGGGGAGACCGCTACCGACCCGCTGCATCTGAGGGCGCAACTGCTGTCCGAGGGAGCAACTGCTGTCCCAGGGCGCGTGGCGCTGGGCGTGGCGCTGGGCTCGCGACCGCGGCGCGCACACCCCGAGAGGCCCTTGCGCGGCCCCGCTCCGAGCAGCCTGGCTCGGCTCCCCTGGGGCCGGCCAGGGCGGTCCGCAACGCGAGTCCTGCCTCCACAGGTCAGGTTGTCAGCCGCCCTGGCGCGCTGCTGCTGCCCTTGTCCTGGCGCCTGCCCCTTTCTCAGGCCCTTCCCCAGCTCCGGGCTGTGAGGCACCTGCATAGGCTGAGCTGGACGTGGAAGCCAGACCCTGGAGCGCTCGCCAGCACAGGGCAGGGACAAGATTGAGCCGCTGGGCTCTTGCCCTTCCAAGAATCGGGCCTGAGGACAAGAAGGATTGTCCCCTGAACAGAGCCAAGGGGTTGTGGCCATGGGGTCTTCCATTCTCCGAACGTCCTTTCTCTGACCCCCCACATGGGGCTTGGGAGGTGAACGCGGCTTCCTGGTTTCCTTCGTGCATCAGACCCTGGGTCTACTGTGGCAGGCTCAGGGCTGGGCTCTGGGGCAAAATGAAGACGCGGGCCCTGCCCTCGAGGTGCCCACAGTGTTAGGGGGAGAGCCGCTCACATACACTAGGATGTGCCCTCCTTTACTTCTACCTCATCCTCATCTCGGTATCCTGCTTCGTGACCAGGGCCATCCTCTGGCGCTCAGTGCTTTTGTAACAATCCTTTACTGCTGAAGTATAACGTTATACAAAAAAGTGCACCAGAGAGTACAACCGAATTATCCCACAGAGAGCACACCCGTGTAACCCCTTCACGGGTCAGGAAATGGAAGTGTTGCTTCTTAATCTCCGCTGTAGCTGCAATTCTATGTCTGCAGACGTGTGGGACAGGGCCGGGGTGGGCGTGGGAGGGGAATGTGCCGGGAAGCCCACACAACTCCAGACCCCAGGGCGGCACTTTTACCCCCAGGCTTGGGAGGTGGGCAGATTCCACGATTCCCCTCAACAGAAGCCTGTTTTCTCAGATGCTTCTCCAAGTCCCCAAGAAAACAGCAATCTTCACTATCCCGGAGGCCTTCAAAGAGAGATTAGAAGTCAGGAGGAGCCAATCTGGGGTAATGGCTCAGGCTTCACTTGCTTGTCTGGGACCCAAAAACAAGACAGAAAAGTCTGGAAGCTGGAGGCTAAGGGAGCGGCAGTGGAAGACTACAACTCCCATCATGCTCCGGTGCAGCGACGCCTGCGCACTGAGCGCCGGTTGCCCATGCGGCCCTAGGGCTGGGAGCGCCGCGCCGCGCTCCGCTGCGGGGGAGGCCATGGCGGAACCTTCCCAGGCCTCGACCCCGGCCCCGGCCACGCAGCCCCGTCCCCTTCAGTCTCCAGCCCCTGCCCCAACTCCGACTCCTGCCCCCAGCCCGGCTTCAGCCCCGACTCCGGCTCCCACTCCGGCACCAGCCCCCGCCCCAGCTGCAGCGCCAGCCGGCAGCACAGGGACTGGGGGTCCCGGGGTAGGAAGTGGGGGGACCGGGAGCGGAGGGGATCCGGCTCGACCTGGTCTGAGCCAGCAGCAGCGCGCCAGCCAGAGGAAGGCGCAAGTCCGGGGGCTGCCGCGCGCCAAGAAGCTTGAGAAGCTAGGGGTCTTCTCGGCTTGCAAGGTGGGGGCGGGGCCTGGGGTGAGAAGGGGCGGGGCTTGGGGCATCCCGGGGCTCGGGTGGGAATGGGGGCAAATCTGTGGCTGGGGATCGGCTCCCCGTCCCCAGTTACAGGACTATTGACTGAGTCTTCTGCCGCCAGGCCAATGAAACCTGCAAGTGTAATGGCTGGAAAAACCCCAAGCCCCCCACTGCACCCCGCATGGACCTGCAGCAGCCAGCTGCCAACCTGAGCGAGCTGTGCCGCAGCTGTGAGCACCCCTTGGGTAAGGCAGGTAGTGCCCTTGGAGCTGGGGCGGGGGCAGGTGCAGGATCCTGCTTGGATTTAGGTGCCACAGAACTATATCTGTGGAGCCAAAAATGCCTCCTTAAGGAGGGATTGGGTTGGGAGCATGTATTCTCCCAAGGAAGAAACAGGAAATTTGCCAGCCCAGAAGAGACAGGGTCCACCCAAGGGCTCACGTAGGAGCAGCCAGTCTCATTGCTGGTCACACTGGTTGGAGGGACTGAGGCTGTAAATTGGCTGGTGATGAAGAGGGGCAGGGAGCTCTGGTGATGTTTCCATTCTTTCCAACCCTACCACCTATCCTTCTTACAGCTGACCACGTGTCCCACCTGGAGAATGTGTCAGAGGATGAGATTAACCGGCTGCTGGGTATGGTGGTGGACGTGGAGAATCTGTTTATGTCTGTTCACAAAGAGGAGGACACAGACACTAAGCAGGTCTATTTCTACCTCTTCAAGGTGAGTTTCCTCCAAGTGAGTGTGAGTGAGCAAAGGAGGTGGGCCTGGGGAGTCTGCAGCTCCGAGCTCCACTGACCTCTACTCCTCCCCCTTCCTCTTCCTCTAGCTCCTGCGGAAATGCATCCTGCAGATGACCCGGCCTGTGGTGGAGGGCTCCCTGGGCAGTCCCCCATTTGAGAAGCCTAATATTGAGCAGGTGGGATGAGGAAGGTGGTAAGAGAATTGGGGGCATGTTGGAGGAGTAAGGAGCCTATGTTCCCCATCTTCCTCAAGCTGAGAACAAGGGATAGGTTCAGAGAAGGGAGGATGTTTTGGGCTCAAGAGGGGCATGGGGATGGGAAGGGGGCAGGGTTTTTCTTCACAGAGAGCCCCAGAGTGAGAGGAGAGCTTTAGCCTGCCCTCAGGAAGCACCAGATTTTGGGTAAGAAACCCCTGTTGGCTGCTCACATCTCCTTCCTGGTCTTGTTCCCTGCCCACTTCTCAGGGTGTGCTGAACTTTGTGCAGTACAAGTTTAGTCATCTGGCTCCTCGGGAGCGGCAGACGATGTTTGAGCTCTCCAAGATGTTCCTGCTCTGCCTTAACTACTGGAAACTTGAGACACCTGCCCAGTTTCGGCAGCGGTCTCAGGCCGAGGATGTGGCTACCTACAAGGTCAATTATACCAGGTAGGCCTAGCCAGGGCCAGCAGGGGGGAGGCTTGGAGGCCCAGCCTGGGTCCAGCGTGTCCGTTCTCACCTCTCACCTCCCCGCTGCCCGCAGATGGCTTTGCTACTGCCACGTGCCCCAGAGCTGTGACAGCCTCCCCCGCTATGAGACCACTCACATCTTTGGGCGAAGCCTCCTCCGTTCCATCTTCACGGTGACCCGGCGGCAGTTGCTGGAGAAATTCCGGGTGGAGAAGGACAAGCTGGTGCCTGAGAAGAGGACCCTCATCCTCACCCACTTCCCAAAGTAAGGCTCGTTCTGGCCGATCAGGAGTTTTCCCCAAGTTCATATCCTCCCTGTTGTCCCCTTTTTTCCAGGAAGGCTTCCTGGAATGGTCCCTCCTTCCCCTCCATGAGCCTTCTGGGATCTGGGTGTCTACCTGGCAGACTTGTCTGGGGCCCAGATGCAACTTGCTGGCATTTGCCTTTGCGTGTACTAGTCTGGGGATGGCAGGTACATGGCCCGAGTGCTAACATTACCCCTGCCCATGCCCCTGGTAGATGTGACTAACTGTCTCCCACGGGGCCTGGACACGGCCTCAGAATCCTTCCCAGCACAGCGTGCCAAGAAACCAGAGTTCACGCTTGAGGTGAAACCCATTTCCACTCCTACTGTAGTCCTTTCTGTAAGATTTCCCTCCCTTCTGCTACACCTTCCTCTCGTTTTAAACCTGGCTCATAGCTTCCCAGTTTAACAAGCCTCCACTGACTAACGCAGGCCTTTCAGGGCCCCTTCTGCCGCCAGCTGGGAATATGAGATGGCAGGAGGGGATACTGAGGCCCAGGGTGAATTGTGCCCTTGGCCCCATAGTTCAGGATGGCACCAGCTCAGACCCTGTCCCCATGTGCTGCACACCATGGCAAACTGGGCCTCTGATCTCTGTCCTGGACTGCCCTGTTCTGCCTTTGACTAGGGGCTCCCAAGAGGCCGGAGACTGCGTCTCCCCCTAGTCTGAAGCCTGCCTCCGTTCTTCGGCTCCCAGTTCCCTGACAACAGGGTCTCTTTGACCTTCCTCCAGTTCTTCTGGTGTCTGGCCCAGGCTACTGCCTTGGTTGGAGGACAGAGTTGCGAGACAGCCTGTACCCTCCCCACAGATTCCTGTCCATGCTGGAGGAGGAGATCTATGGGGCAAACTCTCCGATCTGGGAGTCCAGCTTCACCATGCCACCCTCAGAGGGGACCCAGCTGGTGCCCAGGCCGGGTATGTGCCGCAGCAGGCTCTTCAGGCTCTCAGCTTGGCCTCCATGGGGACATGCAGGAGGGTGTGTCTGGGGGGGGGTTCCTTTTTGGGACCACCACCACCTGTGACCCCCCCCACCCCCTGATTTCACTCCCTCTCAGCTACAGTTAGCGCGGCAGTCGTTCCCAATGCCCCCATCTTCAGCCCCACCATGGGTGGGGGCAGCAACAGCTCCTTGAGCCTGGATTCTGGAGGGGCCGAGCCCATGCCAGGTGGGTACTTGACCCCTTACCTCTGACTCTCGTTCAGCCCTCCCCTAACCTTTCTTGCTGTCCACCGGACACCCTGCCAACCTTCCCAGCAGGTGAGAAGAGGAAGCTCCCAGAGAACCTGACCCTGGAGGATGCCAAGCGGCTTCGCGTAATGGGCGACATCCCTATGGAGCTGGTCAACGAGGTCATGCTCACCATCACTGACCCTGCCGCCATGCTGGGGCCTGAGGTGGGGCAGCCCGGCTCGCGGAACCGTGTGGGGAGGGGGCCTCGCCAGTCTGAGGCCCCAGCTCACCACCTCTCCTCTGGTGCCCAGACGAGCCTGCTGTCAGCCAATGCAGCCCGGGACGAGACTGCCCGCCTGGAGGAACGCCGCGGCATCATCGAGTTCCACGTCATCGGCAACTCGCTGACGCCCAAGGCCAACCGGCGCGTGTTGCTCTGGCTTGTGGGGCTACAGAACGTGTTCTCCCACCAGCTGCCGCGCATGCCCAAGGAGTACATCGCCCGCCTCGTCTTTGACCCGTGCGTCCCCAGAAGAGCCCCAACCCGGGGACGCCACGCCTGTCCTCTGCCCCGACCCCTGCAACCTGTGGGAATGCTTGCTCCTCCCCTCCCAGCACTAAATACAGCCTGGGCCTCTCAGGCTGTAGGGCCCTGGGCGGCATCTGGGGAACAGGTAGGGGCAGTGACCTGTCCCCTCTCCCCTTAGGAAGCACAAGACTCTGGCCTTGATCAAGGATGGGCGGGTCATCGGTGGGATCTGCTTCCGCATGTTTCCCACTCAGGGCTTCACGGAGATTGTCTTCTGCGCCGTCACCTCAAATGAGCAGGTCAAGGTGAGTGCGTGTTCCTGGCCCCAGCCCCGTCCCACCACCTGCTCCGGAGTTTGTGCTGGGTGGAGTTTGTGCTGGGTCCGAGCCGCTGTCTCCCGCTCTTCTTTCAGTGGCCAGGCAGTTCCTCACAGCCCCACAAGGTGGCAGTCGTCCTTTGGTAACTGCATTAAGGAAACACTTGTTGACAAATAGAGTTCCAAAATCAATACTGCCCTTATTTTTTTTTTTTTAAGATTTATTTATTTATTTTAGAGAGAGCTTGTGAGCACACAAGCAGGGGGAGGGGCAGAGGGAGAGGAAGAGACTCTCAACCAGACTCCCTGCTGAGCACAGAGCCTGATGCAGGGCTTGATCTCACGACCCTGAGATCACGACCTGAACCGAAATCAAGAGTTGGCCACTTAACTGACTGAACCATCCAGGCGCCCCAGCTTTTTATTTTTTTAAAAAAGATCTTATTGATTTATTTTAGAGATAGCATGCGAGCATGAGTAGGGGTTGGGGGGGAAGGAAGGAGCAGAGGGAGAGGGACAAGCAGACTCTGAGCTGAGCACAGAGCCCAACTTGGGGCTCGATCTCACGACCCTGAGATCACGACCTGAGCCGAAATCAAGAGTTGGCCACTTAACCGACTGAGCCACCCAGGCACCCCTATCGGTAACGCTTTAATTTAATTTATTATTTTTTTCAATAACACTTTTAAATGCACCTGAATTTCCTTGATCACAAGAACATTCACATACACTGGGAAGTTAATAATCTTTTATCAGCCTTGCGCTGGGTGATAGTCCTGGGTTCTGTCCTTGAATTGGCCCAACAGACCACAACCCACAGCTGGTAGGGTCCCCGGTTCTCCTGGTTTATGTAAGCCAGATTTGCATGGTGCCCCTAGGTCTTGACGTGTGTGAGAGATGCTCGCTCTTCAGGGTTCAGATCTGAAATGACTAGGGCCCTTGTGATTCTTCTTTCCCTTTCCCCCTAATTCTGAGGCCCAGGAACTGGGAACCAAGTGGCATGTGGATGGCAACTTCCTGGTTGGGATTTCAGTCCTGGCCTTACCGTGGCTGGCTGGCTGACCTTGGACACATTTCCTAACATAGCTGAGTTTCAGATTTGTTTTTTTTCTGTAAAATGGTGATAAAAATATTTTATCTTATGGATTAACTTGAGAGGTGGTCTGTAAAGTACCAGGCATCACACGAGGTCGACAGTAAGCACTTAGAAACCCAGTGTCCTTCACTTTCTTCCTACAGACGCCCCTTCCTCTGCCAGTTGCCTTTCGTCCTCCCTGTCCTGGGTCCCCGGGCTGTCCCGTTCTCCTATCCAGTCTGCTCTCCGCTCTGGGCCCCTCTGCTAAGCCCTGCTCCCCTCCCCCGCAGGGCTATGGGACTCACCTGATGAACCACCTGAAGGAGTATCATATCAAACACAACATTCTTTACTTCCTCACCTACGCAGATGAGTATGCCATTGGCTACTTCAAAAAGCAGGTGACCCTCGCCTCCGCCCACACTTGCCTGCTGCCTGGGGTTAGGGGTCATTCTAGCCCGCTGGTGTGGATGGGATGGGGTGGGATACTCCCTGCTCCATCCGGCACCTGCACCTACAGCACCTACGGGGAAGTCTTCCGCGCCCATCTGCAGGCCTCCTGCTGCCGTCCCAGTGAGGAGGAGGGGCCTGCAGGGCAGTGCTGCAGGCTGGAAGAACTGGGAGGCTCTGGATGGGGGAGGGGGAGGGCGCCGCTGACCTGGAACCTTTCTGGGGACAGATTGAGCCCACACAACACAGAGCATTGTACCAGCTACCGCAGAAGGTGATCTGGGAACGGGAGAAGGGGACACGGCCCGCACAGCCCCTCAGGGGGCTTCCGGGGGAGGGGTCATTCAAGTTGGAAGGGCCTTGCTGACGGATCGGGTCATAACTGTCCACTCCCTAGGGCTTCTCCAAGGACATCAAAGTGCCCAAGAGCCGCTACCTGGGCTACATTAAGGACTATGAGGGTGCAACGCTGATGGAGTGTGAGCTGAATCCCCGGATCCCCTACACGGAGCTGTCCCACATCATCAAAAAGCAGAAGGAGGTGTGTGTGTGTGCACGCACTCAACCCTGGGGCTTTTCATGTGCATGTGGGGGTGAGCACACGTGTGGATGTGTGCCACACGTACGTGCACGTGTGAGATGGGCGTGGGCCAGGATCTTGGTTCTTGCTTTGCCTCTCAGGGAAGTTAGGAGGTCAGGGGCAGGGCCTCTGACAGTGGCCCTGGGAGGGTTGCTCCTGGGGCTGGAGTTGGCCCCTCAGACCCTGCCTTCCTCAGATCATCAAGAAGCTGATTGAGCGCAAGCAGGCCCAGATCCGAAAGGTCTACCCGGGGCTCAGCTGCTTCAAGGAGGGTGTGAGGCAGATCCCTGTGGAGAGTGTCCCCGGCATTCGTGAGCAGGGGTCTTGGGCGGGGAGGGGGTACCCTGCTTGGGGTGTGTCTTCAGATTCTTAGGGATGCTCTCCCCACGCCCCACTTTGCAGGAGAGACGGGCTGGAAGCCACTGGGGAAGGAGAAGGGGTGAGTGTTGTGGGGGTGGAGGGGGAGGGTTTTGCGGGAGGCAGAAGGACCAAGGGCCTCAGACGTGGCGTCTCTCGCCCCAGGAAGGAGCTGAAGGATCCAGACCAGCTCTACACAACCCTCAAAAACTTGCTGGCCCAGATCAAGGTGGGGAGACGAGGTTCCGTCCCGGGGGTCCCTGCACCAGTGGCTACGACCCCTTCTGGGGTGGGTGGTGCTCACAGGCTGGGCTGGGGGCGCAGTGGGCCCGGCTCCAGCTCGGCTTTCCTGTGCAGTCGCACCCCAGCGCCTGGCCCTTCATGGAGCCCGTGAAGAAGTCCGAGGCCCCTGACTACTACGAGGTCATCCGCTTCCCTATCGGTGAGCACGCTCCATCCCGACCCCGTCCTGCCACTGCCGCCCCCAGATCTACTCCTGCCTTCCCTGGGCCCCACGGCCCCCCGCTCCCCGCGGCCTCCTGAAAGCACGCGCTTGCCCCCTGCTGTGCCAGACCTGAAGACCATGACGGAGCGACTGCGCAGCCGCTACTACGTCACCCGCAAGCTCTTCGTGGCCGACCTGCAGCGCGTCATCGCCAACTGCCGCGAGTACAACCCTCCGGACAGCGAGTACTGCCGCTGCGCCAGCGCCCTGGAGAAGTTCTTCTACTTCAAGCTCAAGGAGGGGGGGCTCATCGACAAGTAGCGCCTGGCTTTGGGCCGCAGCCCCGACCTGGACTGTCTCCGCCTCGGGTTCTGATCCGATTGCGAGGGGCGGCCCTGGCGCCCACGTGCCTCTCAGCTTGAGACACTCCAGCCCCCGGGCCCTGCAGCCCTTTCTGGATCCGCGGGCGCCCCCACGCCTGCAGACTGAGCTTTCGTCGTATCTGGCCTTGGGGAGGGGTCTCCGGGGGCTGGGGTTCAGCCCCTCTGAAGTGGCTGGTGGCTAAGGATAAGCCCTGCCCAGCCCCGGTGGCCCCCAGCCCTGTCCCCACAGAGCCGTGGAGTCCAGCCCACTGTTTCCTCAAGGGTCGGGACTGCCCATTTTAGCTTGAGGGAGGGGGCTCCAGTGTTTGGAAGTCCAACTGGGACTGGAGGGGCCAAGCCTCACCCCTCACCCTGCACTGTTCTGTCTGTCCCCCAGGGGTGGGGGGCCTGGGGACCATTTCCTGGCATTAATCCCTCAGAGGGAACAATAAAGCTCTTTTTTTTTTCTCTGTGTGATTGTTTCTTTAGTAGTGTCCTCAGCTTTAGCAGGTTGACCCTGTTCCTGCCTGGACCTCCTGCAGAACTGGAGCCTATTAAACCTCAGATGGATGGGGCACCTGGCTGGCTCATGATCCCGGGGTCCTGGGATCGAGCCCCACATCGGGCTCCCTGCTCAGAGGGAAGCCTGCTTCTCCCTCTCCCACTCCCCCTGCTTGTGCTCTCTCGCTCTCAAATAAATAAAATCTTAAAAAAAAAAAACCACAACAACTCAGATGGTGCTGGGGCCACCCTCCCCAGCCAGCTTCCTGCCTAGTCCCGTGCTCCTGGGGTGATGGCACGTGCACTGCTGCAGCCCCCATTTCTCCCCACTGCTGGCTGCTCCTGGTCCAGGTGTGGGGGCTGCAGGGGTCCCAGTCTCCACCTGGCCGCCTTGCCCTGCCTGGACATGGTTGCAGCTGGTTCAAAAGGAGTGGAGGCGGGGCGGGGTGGCGGGGCGGGGTGGCGGAGACTGGGCTCTCAGGGGAGGGGCCTGTAGGACCCAGGAGGAGGGAAAGGGTGCTTTCCAGCAGCTTTTCTGGGGGAGGGGGACAGAGCGGGGAAGGGGAAGAAGGGGAAAGGAGATTGCTAAGGTTGAGCTCTGCCCGAGTTAACTCCTCCCACAGTTTCAGTTTCTGTTTTCGATTTCAGCACAGCCCAGTGGCACCCGGCTCGGCTCAGAGCTGAGCTAAGCGGGCCACCCTCGGCACCTCAGCGCCTCGGCAGGTGTTGCAGATAAGAACCGACAGGGCAGAAGTCAGGTGTAGTTTGTGTTACTCCCACCTGTCTTGGCCAGATCAGGTTCCTGGTAGATCCTTTCCGTGCCCTCCCCCACCTCCCTCAAGCCGGATGGGGAGGTCTCTGCACAAGACGGCTTGCCAGGAATGGGGAGGGGGCCGGGCTTGGGAGGTGGCCAGGTGGGCCAGGGGTCTGACTTTCCTTCCCTTCTCAGAATGGAGCTGCGACCCTACCAGTGGGAGGTGATCATGCCTGCCCTGGAGGGCAAGAATATCATCGTATGGCTGCCCACGGGGGCTGGGAAGACCCGGGCGGCTGCTTATGTGGCCAAGAGGCATCTAGAGACTGTGGACCGAGCCAAGGTGGTTGTACTGGTCAACCGGGTGAGTAGCCCGCACTCCCCTTGCTGGGGCCTCAGCTCCTCAGGTGTCTCCCAAGACCCTCCAGAACTCAGGAGCTGCTGTGGTCATCTCTAAGCTCACCTGCCTTTTCCCCCATTCCTGCCCCCAGCCAAGTCCTGGGGGGTCAGCTTGCCTCCTCCCCATCCCCCTTGCCCCCAGCCCAGCTTCCTCTCTGCACCTCATTCTGCATTGGCAGGTGCACCTGGTAAGCCAGCATCGTGAGGAGTTCAGCCGCATGCTGGACAAATGCTGGGCCATTATAACCCTGAGTGGGGACATGGGGCCACGAGCTGGCTTTGGCCACCTGGCCCGGAGCCATGATCTGATCATCTGCACAGCTGAGCTGCTACAGATGGCGCTGACCAGCCCCGAGGAGGAGGAGCACGTGGAGCTCAATGGTGAGGGCTGTGAGCGAGGGCGGAGAGTATGCCCCTGAGGCACCCTACCTGCAACCCCCAGGGCACCTCTTCTGGTAGAGCTGTTGGGACATTTGGTGGCAGTGAAGGGTTCCCCATTCACCAAACCCTAGCATATGGCCTCGTAGAAGTAGGCCTGGCTATGGTGCGGGATCTTGGGCAAGTCCCCCCAACCACCACCACCGCTGAGCCTCAGTTGACTAATCTGTAAAATGGAGGTAGGTCACCCCTGCCTAGGCTGCTCTCTGGAGCCTGGCTGCAAGTTGTAAAAGGAGGAAGGAGTGAGACGACCTGTGGGGGCTACATGCAGAAAAGCTTATGGGGGAGGAAGGGCTTTGCAGATGTCGGTCACAGCCTTCCCCCATGTGTCCCCAGCCTTCTCCCTGCTCGTGGTGGATGAGTGTCACCACACGCACAAAGACACCGTCTACAACATCATCCTGAGCCGGTACCTAGAGCATAAACTCCAGAGGACACGGCCCCTGCCCCAGGTGCTGGGTCTCACAGCCTCCCCAGGCACTGGTGGGGCCTCCACGCTTAATGGGGCCATTGACCACATCCTGCAGGTCAGCTGGGCCCCTGTGACCCCGCCGCCGCCTCCACCAGCGCCCCCCCCCCCGCCCCCCGGCCTGCCCCTCGCCCAGCAGCCCTCCCCAGGCTCTCCCAGGCTCTTAACTCCAGCCTCCAGTGGCTTCTCACTGAGCTTCGGTTAGGTTAGACCCCACCCTCTATACGGTGGCTTAACAAAGTTCCATGGGACCCAGCCCTGCCTACCTCTCCAACCTCATTTTCCCCACACCTCACTCCTACTCTGCCAGCCTTCTCTCTGGATCTTGAGCATATCACATCCTTCTCGGGACCTTTGTGCTCACCGTTCCTTTTGCCCTGAATGCCCTTCCCCCTGCACTTGACCTGTCTGGCTCCTTCCTGTCATTCAGGGAACAGCTTAAATGTCACCTCCTCAGAGTCTTCCCTGGTCACCCCCACAGCATGTCCCATCATCCAATTTTGTCTTCAGAGCTCATTAATACTGCCTGAAACCCTCCCATTCTGTTACTCTTTACTGGTTTATCACCTGTCTCCCCAACTCCAAAGTAAGACTCTGGATCCCCACTACCTACCACAGCACTGGGCACAGAGAGGGCGAGCAATAAATATTTGTTGAGTAAATGAATCCCCACTTCCAGTGGCCCCGCTCAATTGCAGCTGGGATCTACCCTGTCTCAGAGCTCTGCCCATTGTCCTCAGAGGGCTCTCCCCCATTCGCGTGAACCCCTTTCTCTTGCCCCAGCTCTGTGCCAACCTGGACACGTGGCGCATCATGTCACCGCAGACCTACCGCCCCCAGCTGCAGGAGCACAGCCCTCAGCCCTGCAAACAGTACAACCTCTGCTGCAGGCGCAGTCAGGTGAGTGGAAGGCGGGGTGGGAGTGGAGGTGGGGTCTGGTGTGAAGTTAGGGCACCTGGCCTTGAGCCCTGCCTCCACCCCCACGAGCTCCGTGACTTCCGGTTACTTGCTTATTTCTCTGAGTCTCTCTTTCTCCGTTCTGTGAAATGGGGAAGATGCAGCCCGTGCCCACAGCCTGCTGTTTGGTTTGACTCCGAGGCCTCTGGGGGCATCTGTAGAAACCCCGCGGGGTGCTTCGCGAACCACACACCTCGGGCCCTCTGTGCTGAGGCTGTCGGGCGGCGCAGACTCTGGCGTCTGCTGGGGCAAGGCCGCACAGGGATTAGACATCGCTGTGCTCAGGCCAGAGGTCAAGGGCGCGGAGGAGGTGGAGGCAGAGCAGGAGCCGGGGCAGGCACCTGACCCCAGCCTCCAGCGGGGCCTCCTTCACAGCCCAGTGGGCTTCTCTCTGGAGCTCCTCTTCTCAAACCCCGACGCGGCAGCGGGAGCCCTGCAGCTTCAAGCGGAGATCAGCGCCCTCACTGGGTGCTCACTGCCCCCCACCCGCACGTGTGTGGGAATCCCTTCACGCCCCCTTCCCACCCAGGACCCGTTTGGGGACACACTGAAGAAGCTCATGGACCGAATCCACAACCGCCTGGAGATGCCCGAGTTGAGCCAGGACTACGGGACGCAGAATTACGAGCAGCAGGTGGTGGAGCTGAGCCAGGCTGGTGAGAGGGGCCGTCCGCGCGGGGCGGGGTGGGGGCGAGGAGGCCCGGACGTGCCTTGGTGAAGCCTTTTGGGGCGGAGCTCGGCCTCTCGGGGGGCGGAGTCTAGGCGGGAGGAGGCCTGAGGGGCGTGGCCGCTCAGGGCCTGTGCGCCTCCTCCTCCTCCTCCCTCCCTCCCTCCCTCCCTCCCTCCCTCCCGCGCGTCCGCAGCGGCCGAGGCCGGCCTCCAGCAGCGCCGGGTGTACGCTCTTCACCTGCGGCGCTACAACGATGCGCTGCTCGTCCACGACACGGTCCGTCCTGTGGACGCCCTGGACTCGCTGCGGGATTTCTACGACAGGGAGCGCGCCGCGAAGACCCAGGTTTTGCAGGCCGAGCGCTGGCTGCTGGCGCTGTTCGATGGTGAGGCTCGCGGGAACTGGACTAGACCAGGGCATCGGCGCCAACACAGGTTGGCAAGGGGCCAACGAGGGTCCTGGGACCCTGTATTTCTAACCGAGGGTCAAGGCGGTGGATAGGACAAAAGACGTATGCCCTCATTTGTGAAGGGTTGCGTAGACATGAAAACTAATTCATTTAGTTGGGGGACTGTCCCTTGAAAGTCTGGGGTGTGTGGTACCTTTAAGCTGGGAAAGGGAGGTGGTCAGAGAGTGGCATTTGAGGCTAGAGGCCTCAGCAAGCCTGAAGGGCGGGGCAAGGATCTTTCTGAAGGGACCTGAGGTTGAGTTAATCCTGGGTAGCTGAGGTCCGAGGTATGTCTGCTAAGAAATCTATACTGTAGGCCCCTGGTGTCAGGCTGGCTGGGTGGGCAGAGCGTGTCCTTGAATGTTGTCTTGGTGCCGCTCGGGGGGAATTGGGAGCAGATATCCTCAGGCTCCCTCTACACCCCCACCCCCCTGCAATCCTGTCCCCGTGGGCCACACCCTCTCCCATGCATGCCGTGCCCACATCCAGGCTTGAATCCCGTGCCTCTGTTTTGGGCTTTTCTGGCAGATTACAAGAATGAGCTGGCCCACCTGGCAACATGCAGCCTGGAGAATCCAAAACTGGAGATGCTAGAACAGATCCTGCGGGAGCAGTTTGGGAGCAGCGACAGCGCCCGGGGCATCATCTTCACCCAGACCCGCCAGAGCGCTCACTCTCTCCTGCTTTGGCTCCGGCAGCAGCCGGGCCTGCAGACCGTGGACATGAGGGCTGACCTGCTGATCGGCGCAGGGAACAGTAGCCAGAACAGCCATATGACCCAGGTGTGGGCTTTGAGGAAAGGAGCTGGCACTGGGGGAGTTCCTAGAGGGGAAGGG